CTAGACTGTCAGGAGCACCCGCCTATCAGGTGCTCCAGTAAAATTTTTGCTCGACTGCCCGGACCTACTTTTTGGATGATCACGAAGGTAAAAAGTAGACAAGATGTGGGACAAATGCGGTCCACACTTGCCAATGTAGGACAAACAAACTGCGTAAAAATTCCAAAAAATTCTTTTACTATCTTTTTTATTTTCGGAAGCTCACAAAAAATATTTGTCAACATAAGTCACGTACGTGTACACCATTTTGTGGAGAATTATCTTTTTTCTTAAATGCATCTTTTGACGGTTTTTGATTAAAACAGAAAACAAAGTTCGATCTAGTCTTGACAGGCTTGGGGTGAATGGAGACTAGTGTTATAACAGTGTGGGTGTAGAACGTTAACGTTGATAGCGTCTCCAATTACCACACTTTCCGCTACAATTGCATAAAGCTTCTCTTGTAGCGACAATGAAAGACCGCTCCGTGAATGCAATATTCACACCACAGTTTTCGTCGTGCATCCCTACAGATATGTGAAGAAGGCAAGCTTCTATGAAAAGCAGAGCTGTTGGGTGATGCGGATTTAATTATACTGATTGCCTGCCTGTTGACATTTAACAAACATGCATATGCCACACAGGAACCATAGGTGAAAACTATACATTATGGACCCCAAGAGGCTTCAATTATTTCTAATATCACAGTATGTTCTTGAAAATGTCAGCCAGATGCGTGTATCACTATTGGCCTCGATTAGTGGCGATCGCATGCACGGTTCACACACACAAAAAAATTAGGTGACAACAAACCGGTTGGTCGTGACAACCAAACCACGGCCAACTACACCGAGTATTATTGACGCAAGGACAAATTCGACCACTGAAAACTAAAAGGTCTTACTTCAGAGGGTTTTCGTAGAAGGTCGGTACTCGGAGAGCCGCGGTATAAGGTCAGATCTCACTAGGGTCGCGGTGTATGGTCGTAAGCCTATTTTTAGTCGATTTTGCGAGATGCATATCAATAGAAACAGAATAAGAAAATTCTCTTTTCAATGACAGGCTATGCATCTCACGAAATCGTGAAAAAATAGGCCTACGACCCCAAACCCTCTCGACCTTAGTTTTCAGGGGTCGAATTCAGCTGTCGTAACCAAACCTATTTGAATCAACTAAATTTTTCATGTGTCAATAACACTCGGTGTAGTTGATCGTGGTTTGGTTGTCACGACCGACCCGTTTGTTGTCACCACAAAACTCTCTCAACAAAGCCCCCGAACCACTTAAAAGTAGTTTACTTTTGGAAAGGGAAAATTTTAACTACAAACTATCGAAATCGTAAACCGTGCAATTCGATTACCGCTGGTAGAGGATGATCTTTACTGTTACTTGTACCTAAAACAACGCAATGAAATTCTATCATCGTACCCTAATTGTAAACTCCAATCATTTTCCATATTGAACTCTGGTTCAAATTTACGTTTTAAATAAATATACAGATAGATGCATCGGAAGGTCGCTTTGCACATTTGTGTCGTTGCGTCCAAGTCTTTCATCCACAAATGCAAGTTTTTCCGCTGGTATGGCAGGAATGTTTGACCATCACAAGCACTCTCATACATCCAATCCAATTTGGGGGGATTTTCAACGTTATTGTACAGTAACAACTTTGTTCCTATGAAGAATTGTACAATATGATACATAAAGAAAGACATGTGGTGCCCGACAGCTTGACCACCATGATAGCAACTCATAACCTTCCAATATTCTTCCTTTGGGTAACGATCAAGAGCTTCTATTTTTCCAAACTCCAACAAATAGATAAGCTCGTCACAATGACCCGCACAACATGATTCATATAGCACAGGCTGATTTTCAGTGTTTTCTTCTTTGCCTGGTTTGACTGTATCGGCAAACTCGTTGACTAATTGTATAAAGGATTTTCTAATTTTGTCTGCAAGGGCGGCATCCGGTCGTCCACCGAGCTTTCCGCCTTCAAATAAAGGGACCCTCTTTTCTGGGTTCTTGTAAAAGACTTTTTCCGTGGTTGTTTCACAATCCTCGTCCGAACAAATGCTATTGTGCAAGTACTCTCGTCGGTCTACAATAAGCTGAGCACGCTTATTTTTCACGTGAATTAGTCCGCAGGGTCCAGAAGGCAGAGAAACGCCACAATCGCGACGGGGCGTGAAGTACTCCGTCAGTAGGCTCCACAGCTCATTCCTCGACCTAGAAAAGGAGCACAACATTACTTTGCGGTCATGTTCCATTTCAAGCGCGCGAACTCTTATCATTCATGTACCGGAACGCACAAGCCCACACTGTGTATTGTGTAACCGAACAGACATAAACGTATGGTGCGATGCAGCGGGCTGGCACACGGTAAAAACAATGTATCATTTTTTGAGGAGAAAGGGAAAACTTTGAGGATCTCCCAGATTTGAGGAGAACTCCTTAAATTTCGCCTCAGATTTTGAGGAACCTCCTCAAATAATAAGGAAGAGTGACACATTTTTTGAGGAGACTTCCTCGAAATCTGAGGAGCTTTCCACAAACCATAAGGGAGTTCCTCAAAGTTTTCACTTTTTCCTGAAAAAAAGGGACATTGTTGTTACCGTGCAAACGCCCTTTGCTAATACAAAGGGAGACGTGGTACTTCGTGTGCGATGTAAAGCATAGCGCCTGTGCGTGCGATGACAAAGGGTCTAAAATCTACACATATAGCGTTTGGTTTCACAGTGCAGTGTCGGAAGCCAAAACGCTGCACGCGGTGAGATCGTTCAAAAGGGCTGGAATAGAGTATGACCCCAACGATTGATTGCCTAGCGAACGAGGAATCTATTGATGAGTTCATACGCTCGACATTTGCCATGAGTTCCTGCAATGATTTTTTTTCGGGAAAAATTTTGAGGTGGTTTTTGTCATTCTAGGTGGGGAATCTCCACGCAAAAAAGTCAAGAAGATCGGAGAGAGCTACATATGTATGTTAAGGAGGTGCTTTTCTTAATGTAGTTTCGCTTATATCAATCTGCCTATGCGTGCGATGAAAAAGGGTCTCAAGTGACAGAAGAAAAAAACTCTTTTTTCTGACACTAAATTTGTCTTTGTTTCGGTGACTTATATTTTTGTTACCATAACAAATTCATTTATTCCGTGTATGCAGAGAGGTCCTCGCCCTCAATCGTCAAGTTATTTGATGCAGGGGGCTCCGCTCCTCAACCGCCCCCTTGGGGAATATGGCCAATTTTGAAGTTGTAACTAAAGATTTGCTGCTCAATGATTAAAAGTTACAAAACACGGATGTTCTGTTCTTCCAGGGACGCACCTGCCACTACTGCCACTTCCACCCGAACTGCGTCCTGCTGAGCACGGCCCACCTCCCGCCATGCTGATACGACTCCTCGTCCCTGAAGATCCTGCACAGAAGAGGACAAAGGTTGAGTAAAAAGTTATAAGGCAAACATTTTGATTCATCTGCATCCAGAAAAATGGTGACTACACTGTACTGGAAATGCAAGTGCGTGAATGTCGCTCACCTGCAGGTGTGTGAATATTCATTCCTACACTTAGCAGGGTAAAGGTGTGAATTTTCCCTAGAAAATTCACACGTTTACCCCCTAAGTGTACGAATGGATATTCACACACCTGCAGGTGAGCGACATTCACATACTTGCATTTCCTGTGTAACTGTATAACCAAAACCAATGAGGACAAGACCACATGTGACGTGCGGAGCCTGCAGAGGAAACTGCGTCACAAAACGTGGGCAGTTGTGCAATAACAAAGACTCCGACTGGGTAATTTAGAACGCTAGACACGAGTTAACGTTATATTTTGGCAACTGCCCCGCTATACGGGCTCATCCCTCATTGTACCACTCGACCACGGAGACTGGGAGGCACGCCCCATCATCCCCGGGTCCCGGGTCATCCCAGAGCCGCGCGCCGCCCCCGCTGGGTCATTCCCAGAGGGTCAGCCAGATGTCGGCGCGGTGCCGGGGCAGGCCCACGCCATTGGGGATTTACTCCTAGATGTTGTGATGCCGAGTTTTGAATTTTACTGCCTGCCCTGACTTGAAATTCTATTATCAGCGTTTAAACTGCTAGTAAACAAACGGCCAATGTATCTCACCGTGTGTGGTGGCGTTAGGCGTCAGAAGTAAGCTCATAAAATAACCGCGCAGACCAAGATGTGTGAGGTAGAAAGATGTGCATATCCTTTCCCGTTTTTAAAATTTCGAACTTATAGGAAAATTGTTATCATCTAGTAAATTTCCTATACATGTTAAGAAAATTATGCCTACCAGACACGTATCGGAATTTTCCGATACATTTATGGAGATTTTCCTACACACTTCGTCCTTTTTCCATACACATCTACCCCAATGTGAAATTTCCGATAAATCTATAGGAATTTTCACTTCCGATACGATGTACAGGAGATTTCCTATACATGCGTATGGTAGAATTCCCAACATTTTTTACAGTGGAGAGCTGCGCATTACAATTTGTACTGTAAAATTTTACCCATGTGGTTATAAATGCTTTTGAAAAGTTTCTATAATTTACGAAAAGTTTAAATTCTACGGAGTCACGAGTGTTCCCTTTCAGACGTTAGTCATCAGCTAGGGGCAAGGCGGGAATCGCTCGGCTATCATTAGTGCAAATGATAACGGATTACGAGTGGTTTCCGTTCTGTTTTCACGTAAATTCAAGCAGAATTTGAGTGTGAAGGCTAACATTTTATGATGATTACGCATGATTACAGCCAGCGTTTTTGCACATGTACGCTGTGCAAGCTACCGTGCGTCATATACGGCGCAATACACGCGTAATACGTACGTACTTCGACCTAATTCGATGTAATACATTTAAATACACGCGTAAGATACAGGCAAACATCCGCGCAATAAACGCGTAACAGAGAGTAGTGTGTACACACAAATCCGGAGTGCATATCAGTCTGAACAGACTACATACATACCCACTTGAGATCGACTCGACGACTTGTCTACAATGCTGATGGCCGCGTCCCGTGTGTAGGCTCGGAGTTTACTGCGCTGAGATCGTCCGCCAGTGAAGCTGTTGAACGGGGCGCTCGCTCCACTGCTACGCGGTAGGTAGACCGGTGCGCCGCGCCGCGCCGGCAACACTGACAGACACAAGACACAAGCGGCGGTGGCGCGCCAACTTTGCCGGCCATCGATGGTGGAGGGGGGAGGGCTTTCGCATGGTTGCGCAATGCGTTTGGTAGAGAATCGAGTGGCTTGGGCGGAAGGGCCGTGGAGCAGCAACAGCTGTTTCGGCGTATGGAATGTCGTAGGTCGACAAGTCTCCGATCTGGCCGAATCTTTTAGATGCTACCTCTAGTTAGCACTAGGCAGAGGTGCACTAGAAGACCTTTAGGCAGCACTAGCATAACTCAACTTTATAATACTTCTAGGTAGCACCGATAACACAGCATAAACTGAATAATATAGAGAAAAGACGTGCCAGCTAGCGCGTATTCGCAATAGGGCACCAGGGTAGAGAGCACAAAGTCAGCTGGTACACCGGGAAGACAAAGGCGTAAAATTTATGCCCTTTTCGGGCGTATAGCTTAAAGCTTTTAAATTCCATTTGCCAAATATACGTTCTGCAAAAGGGCATACATGTCTAATGCCCTTTCAAACGGCATGAAAAATAAATGCCTTACTGAAAGGCATTGAAATCGACTAAAGTTTTTATAACCCGAAAGGCGTAAATTTTGTGCCTTTTTGTTCCCAGTAAGAGGGACCCGCTCGCTGGACCCGCTCGGCTTACAGGCTCGCCTAGGCTCGACTCGCCCCGACGGATGCCCGCGACGGGCTCGCTAGCTCGCTCGCTCGGCGCTCGGCAGGTGCAAAATGTGTTGCCTACGTTGAGGCGCGTTGCTGGTCTGCTCGGAACGGGAGGGGTCGCCCGAAGGTAGGCAATCCATCTGACACCCAGCGGAGACGGGCGGATACAGTTGGAGTAATGGTACTGATCCCACTGGTTCCACGCCCCTGAAAAAAACGTTAGTGCTAACGCTAAAGTGAAGGCAGATGACTTATCGAGGGGGCCACCACTCGCGTAATCCTGTGTACAGATGAGGGTGTAATCCCTACGTAATCATTAGGGGCCGTACCCAAACCACGTGACGTGTTCTTGGCAGGTTTTGACCACCCCCACCCTCCCCCCCTGTGGTGGCTTCGGGACCCCGAAATTTGACGCATTTACGACGATACAGAGCATTTTAAGAAAAAGTGCATGTTTGCTGGCATTCAAAACTTATTCAGTGGTGACTTTGCGATTAAACACGGGCAGATTTCGGTGATTGATCACGCAATTAACGGATTTGTGTTAGGTTTTTTTTTCTCCAAAATATGCTTCTTTGAGCAGGTAATTAATAG